GACTTCAGAGTCCTTAATCACTAATCCATGCCCCTTCTACAAATGATAAGCCAAGGGCCAGAGATAGCCAGTGGCTTCTCCAGCGTCCACAAATGGGGTTCAGAGCCAAAGGCTCCTGATTGCAAGCTTTAGGCTGTTTTTCCTGCCCACCTGCCACCACTTTCAACCCTACAGAGCCCCATTCCAGTTACAGTATCAGTGGGTGAGCTGTCCTACAAACTGACATTGCCCTGCCAGCAGAGGTCTGTCCCTCTGACTCCCATTTCCTTAGCCACTTTTGTGAACACCTTCATCCCTTGAGTGTCTAGGTCTTCCTCTGGCATGTAGAGGACTTCCCTGGAGTGAGAGGGTAATCTGTAGATGTCACTAGAAATGTAGCACAGAGATGAGGTGGCCTCTGAGAAGCTGAGTTGTGCTGAGGTAAAGCCCTGGGCCATGGGTCCGGAAGGCTGGTTTCTAAGCCCATTCATTTACCTGGCTGGAGATCTTTGACTGTTAGCCACTTACTTTTAAGCCTCAGTTTCCCTTTCTGTGATCTCAAAATCAATCTCTTTCATTCTGAGCAGTACTAGAAATCCTGCAAATGCTAGTCAAGGAAGGATTGGAATGGAGGGGAGGAGGTACAGATGAGACTGCCCTGGCCCTTGTTCCACGCACAAAGAAATGTCGACTTCTTGACCCCTTGCCCTCAGGCCAAGCCCCTGCATGTAAGACCCCTTGACCCACAGAGTCCTGCCCGTGAAATGTCATGACCTGGCTTAGGCACCAGCTATGGCCTCTGCCCTCTCCAGCCCCCACCTGGCTTCCCATCCTGGACACCCCAAGTACCTCCATCATGCCTCAGACTTAGACTGACCCATCCCCATGTGACCCCTCACCTTCTGCTTGATTAAAACAATCCCATGTCTATGCTCTCTTTCCCTGCTTTTCTTTGACCCTTTTCTTTCTCTCTACTCTTTCTTTTTTTCTCTCACTGAAGCTTGGAGTGGAGGTAGGGGAGAGCTGGGAAGTTGGCAGAGAGATAAGATTCATCAATATTTAATTTTTATGGAAATCATGTCCTAGAAATCCCCAAGAGGCTGAAAATTGTTCTGTGTTTTCAGAATCCAGTGATGTTGCTGAAGCAGTTATGTTGTAAATAAAACCACATTACTGTCTGCAGCTCTCCCGTTGCTCTGCAAACCCCGGAAACTTGACAGTTTAATCCACTCAAGGAAGCAAAAAGGTTTGGGTCACTGGTGGGGGCAGCCCAATCCACAGCCTTGGGATGAAAGATTTCGAACGCTGCACCAACAGTGCACTTACCACTGGGGAGGAAAATGGAGCACGCGTGCCCTGAGCAGACTGGCCTTGCTGGGTGGCTGTCCTTGCTCTGAGCAGAAACCCCAGGGCAGCAGAGCCCCACATCCGGTATCCTGATGTTGGTCAGGACTTGCTCAGATGCTGTGGGCTCTGCCTGCCCCATGGGGAGTGGTGCTGTAGACCCTGTGACCAGCAGAAGGATGGTACCCAAGTTTGCTTGTCCAGCTTCTGAGGGAGTCAGATCTGGAAAATATCCATTTGTTTAGCCATTTATTCATCAATCAGACTTTTATTGAGCATCTGCCACACATTAGATACTGTTTAAGTACTGAGGTTGCAGCAAGACGTACAAAATGCATGGAAATCCTTTCCCTACTTAAGTCCTTTACGGTGGAGGCAGACAATCAACAGATAAGTAAGTAAGGTATATAGTATGTTGTGTGGTGATAAATGCAATGGAGAAAAATGAGGCAGAAATTGTAGGTATTTACCCATGAGAAACCGATCCACTAAAAATGTCTTGTATAAGAATATTTAAAGCAGCCCTCTTCAAAACAGCTAAATATGGAAACAGTCCAGGTGTCCATCAAGTGAATGATTCAACGTGTCAGCACATTGGCACATGAAATACTATATGCCAATGTAGGGCAGTGATCTACCAGTGCATAAACCACTATGAATGGATTTAGCAAATATTTGTCTGAATGAAGGAAGCCAGGTGCATAAAAACACGTACTGGGTGATTCTATTTATATGGCATCCTCGAAGAGACAAAACTAGCCTGTCGTGACAGCAATGGAATAGCAGGTGCTCTGGGTGAGGAAGGGGTGAAGGCCCCTCTGGCATAGTGAAAGTGCTGCTTGTCTTTATGCCTGTTCATCAAGGCAGAGTGACCGTGACAATTTCATTCATGAAGTCCCTACACAAAAGTAGAGTGCACAGTGAAAGAATAGGATGTGCTGCTGGAGGTAAGAAGGGTGTCGCAGCTTGGATATGGGTGGTGAGGAGAAGAGGAGTTGCAGAAAGTGAGGGAGAGAGTATATCAGGCAGAAGAACTCTGCAGGCGGAAGATGGAAGAGCATGTGTAAAGGTTCTGGGGTTGCGCTTTGGCTTTTGTGATCAGGAACAGCAAGACAGCCATTGTCTTAGGCATCCCAGGCTGCACTAAAAAACTACCACAGCTAATGACATACATTTGCTTTATTAGAGTTCTGCAAGCAGGAAGTCCAAGGTCAAGATACTGTAGGACTGATGTCTCCTGTGCCCTCTCCTTGGCCTGCAGATGGTCACCTTCTCTCGGTGGCCTCACATGATTGTCCCTAGGTCTGTAGGGTGTCTTAGTCTCTCCACAAGGACAAGAGTCATAACAGGGTAGGCCCACACTAGTGTCTTCCTTTCACTTACCTCTGTAAAGACTTTTGTTGCAGTTTGGATCTAAAATGCCTCCCCAAACTCTCATGGGTGTGGAAGACAGCTGGCCTGTGGGATGCTATGGTGGATCTCAGAGTGTACTGTTAGAAGGTAGGGCCAGTGGAAGATGGATCACTGCAGACATGGGCCAGAAGGGCTGTTCTTGTCACCAGCTCCTTCCTTCCCTGCCTGGTTTCTGTCTGCTGTGAGTTGAGCATCTTTTCCACTTTTGTTCTCTGACATCCTGTCTCTGCCAGTGGGAAACCATGGGCTGAAATTGTGAACCAAAATGAACCTCTCCTCTTTTACATTGCAGGCATTGGGTATTTTGTCCCAGCAATGAAGAAAATGCAAAAGTATTTCCAATGAAGGTCAATTCTGAAATACTGGGGTTAGGCTTTCAGCAGGTGAATTTGGAACACAAAATTCCACCTATCACAGCACATGTAGCCAGAACCACAGGAGGCCCAACCCAGCCCCTGTGTGCTCCTTTGGATCTGGCCTGCCTATGTCTGCAGCTCCTGGGAGGCAGGTATTGCTATGGGCAAGGAAAGAGAAGGACTCTGTGAGAGAGGAAAGATGGAGTTACAGAGGCAGGAGCTTATAATTCTCAGATTTGCTTTTCATGTTTTCACATCAGCAGGAAACCATTCCTTTTTGAAAAATCAGCAGTGTTTACATTGAGGTCAGGCCACAGAATTCAATGACCACTGAATAGGGAGGTGGGGAACACACATTCGAAGGCTGGTTAGAGATGCTCATGGGGCTGGGCAGCCCATCACGCACTCACCTCAAGAGCGGTGGCCTGCTCAATTTGAGAAGAATGAGGGAGGTTGGGGAAACCGTTTCCTGGGAACATCTGGGAATGGAGGAGAGGCTGTGCTGTGCTCATCGGTTCTACTGTCTTGGTGGGGGGCATCCATCATCCTTTCCTTGCACCCCCTCCTGGGTTGCTCCCCATGCTCCCCGAGGCTCTGCATCGTCCTTGCATGACTGCTTCAACTCTGTCTGCTGTCTCACGTGAGTGCTGAGATCCTCAGCTTTAGCCTGCTGCACACAGAAAACGCTATTGATTTTCTCTTATTTATTTATTTATGAGATTTCTTGCTGTAGGCAAAAAATAAAAAGATTTATGCAGCATTTCCCTTAGCAATGTGCAGCTTTCTCCGCCCTCTGCCTCCCTTCTCCCTCGTGAATGCCCCAAAGACTACTTTCTCATCTTTCTATGCTCCAGGAGGCCTGCTGTCCCTGGGTTGCAAGTTGCAGGAATGGGGCTAAATGTCCTACCTAGTGGCTGGCACATAGTAGGTGCACAGAAAACTATGAGAGGTAGGTGGATACATTTTTTAATAAGATATATTTGGTGCCCAAAAGAGTGAGGAGGCCAAAGATATCCCATTCTTTTGTGAAGCACCTACTGTGCGCCAGGCTCAGGGCTGGGCAGTGTGGACCCATCTCACCTAGCCATTATCATAACAAAGTGGATAACCCACAAAGTATCTTTTGTTAATGGTGAGATTCAGAGAGATAGAGCACCTTGGCCAGTTACCCAGTGAGCCAGAATATACATTTACATCCTCAGGAAGTCAGCACCCCTCTTTCACCAGTTGTCCCACTGGGGAGCAAGAACCTACGGAAGAGACTGCCAAGTGCTTCCAGGGCCTCCCCAGCGGTGCACCTCCCCTCTCTGAGCACCTTAGGTGGAAACTACGCATGCACTTCCCCACCACTTGCACCTTTGGGAAGATGACCACATGGGAATCCATCCTTGCCCTTCTGTGGGCCTCAGGCAAGGACCACTAGTTTAGGTCTTTTCGTGGAGAAAGCTGGCAACAGAGTTCAGAGGGAATTTCAGTCCCCTCTCAGGTCTGGAGATCTGTTACTGATGATGTGACACATTGAGCTCTGGAATATTTTAGACCATCTAGGCATGCCCGTGCCCTCGCCAGGAACTTCTCCCTCCCAGACAAACACCTAGATGTCTCAGGTCTATACTCTACTCTTAGGTTCATACGCTTTACTCACCTGTGAAGCAAAGTGCTGCTCAACTGTGTGTGACTGTGGACTTGTCCTTGGGTGATGCTGAGCTCCTAGGGCACAAAAGTCATGTCTTGTTGCTGTCTCCCTCCTGGATTTGAACCCAAGGCATGGCGTGGAGGGCTGTGGGCCTCCCCATTGACCCTATGAAGCTACTGTACCCTCATCCTGTCCAGCCTAGGGCCTATGATGGGGGAGGCCTGGCCTTCACCTTCACCCTGGGTGCTTTTGTCTCTCTCCTCCCCTGGTAGGAGTTTCCCTTGGCTGTCCTGCGGGTCTGGGAGTGCTACTGTGCCTACCCAACACCCCAGTTCAACCTGCGGGATGCTGTGGACAGCACGCTGTGTAGCCCCGCCCCTGAGGCACAGACGACAGCTGGCTACTGTGAGGTCTACCAGACTCCTGTGCAAGGTGAGCTCTACATTCACATGGGCCGTGGCTTCTGGTCTCAGGTCAGGGCAAGCTTCCAGGATTAAGAGAAGCCAGGTATGCCTGAGTACACACTCCTAACGCTGGACAAGGAGAGATGGGTGCCAAGCCCCTTACCTCACAGTGAGTGGTGGAGAGAATGGGAATGGTGAGGCCAGGCCTAGGGGGAAGGGGCTGCGTAGGGCCTCTGAGGGCTCTAGGCCTAGAGTCCTCTTTGGTAGGAGCATCATGGCTGGCCGAGCTGGTGCAGAATGAGCAGATGGGTGGGAATGTTCCCAGCTTTAGCCAGCCCTGATGTGCTTCAGCTCAGCAGGGAGGGCTGGGCAATCTTCTGGTGACTCATGTGCTTCTTGCAGCAGCCCTCGTGAAGTGAAATGAAACTCAGAGAGTCACTTGTCTAAAATACCTGAAGCCAGTGGTGTCTTGATGACTGTCTGAGATAAGTCCAATGCTGGTTTACTGTGGCTGGACACAACCCCCCATCTACTACCTCCAGCAAAATCTGGGTTTATCTATGCTTGAGCCAGGGTTCCTCTGTGGCTATGGAGACGGGGGGGGGGGGGCAAGGGTCCATAATACACCTGATGCTTACTCCTGAATCGGTTATGGGAAGCCTTGTCATGGGCTTTCTTTGTCCAATCATAGATCTGTGCAGCCAAGCTATGGGTGGAAAATCCCTTTCCCTCTCAGGACCTCCACTTTCCCATCTGTTGAATTTTGACTCACCTGCGCCACTGTTAGGAGCCCAGTAGTGGGTGTGTAGGTCATCCTGGAGGTGAGTAACTAATGACATTTTTACTTTCAGACACACGCTGTACAGACAGAAGGTTCCTTCCCAACAAATCCAAGGTATTTGTGGCTTTATCAAGCTTCCCAGGAGCCGGCAACACGTGGGCAAGGCACCTCATTGAGCATGCTACGGGCTTCTACACAGGGAGCTACTACTTCGATGGAACCCTATACAACAAAGGTGAGTCGGGTCTGCAAGGGATCTAGAGAGCCCAGACTACCTACCTGCTCACCAGCCAACCTCTGCAAGGTACTAAGAAGTGCCTCTCACACTTCAGCACGCATAAGGATCCCCTAGAGAGCTTTCTGGAACAAAATCCTGGGCCACACTCCCAGTCTGACTCAGTTTGTCTGACCCAGGGCCTGGGATTTTGCATTTCTACAAGTTTTCATGGGATGCTGGTGCAGCCAGCCCCGGGATTAAACTTTGCATGGAACATCACAAAACACTGCTTGTTCCAGGTTCAAAAAGAAAGGCCAACAGCTTGGACTTTCCCTCTAGAAACATTACTTGAATTTTCCTTCATTGTTAGAACCTTCATTAATTAGGAGCAGAACTCACTTAGTCTACTCATTCCCCCCTCCGTTTATTTTTGAGGCAAGGGGTAGCTCATCAAAATGCAATTTTATTTAAATAGGTTCAAAAATCTTTAAGAGGTTTATGATTTCTAATCTTTCCCTTGTAGAAATAAGAGGTCTCCTTTGCCAAGTAAATTAACTTAAATGGCTCAAATCTGTGCTGTTTAAAAATAAAGAATAAGATGCCTCAGACAAATCAAGTGGCATCTAAATTTGACAAAATGTATTACTCTGTAGTCTAGTGTTGGAATTCTGTCTGATCTTCTTTAACCAGAGTTGTGTTTAGCCAAAAATAACACTATCAATATCATCCTAGAGAAATAGAAACTTCTTGAGATTGTCAATGAGCCTAGGAAAGCGCACAACATCCTTTTTCAGAGTACTGTTTTGTTTTGTTTTGTCTTGTTGAGCTCGGACTCATAGTAATGCTCCTGTTTTCAGCCTCTCCAGCGCTGGCATTACAGGTCTGCCTCACCACTTCAGGTCTTGGTCACCAGTTTAGTGTGCCCCAGGATGGGGCCAGCCCAGCATATGGTGCTGGGGATTGAACTCCAGTCTCTGCCTAAGCAGGCAATGAGTCCACTGAGCTATCTCAATGGCCTTCAGAGTACTTTACATCTTGCAAATGACCAGTGATGTTGAACATTTTTTATATATTTATTTACCATTTGTTTTTCTGAGAAGCATTTATTCATTTCATATCTCCTTCTATGGATTGGGTCTTTAAATTTGGGGGATCTGATTTTTTTCAATTCTTTATGTGTTCTAGGAATTAGTCCTTTGAGGAACATCTGTCTAAGGTATTTCCCCACTCTGTGTGTTGTCTTTTCACTCTGTTGGTTATTTCTTTTGTTGGGTAAAAGCTTTTTAATAAGATGAGATCCCAGTTGTTGATCCTTTGTAGTATTTTCTGTGCCATCAGGGTTTTGTTCGTGAAGTTTTTACCTACATTTAAGTGTTCAAGAGTTCTACCTACTCTTTCTTCCAGCAGATTTAGTGTTTCTACTTTAACATTTAGATCATTGATCCATTTTGATGTTAGTTTAGTGCATTGATATGGGTCTAGTTTTAGTCTTCAGCATGTGAAAAGCCAGCTTTTCCAGCACCATTTATTAAAGAGACTATCCTTCTATTGAAGGTGTTTGACCCCTTGGTTAAAGATAATGGTGTACTTGAAATTGTTTCTCATTTTGTAATCTTTCCCATTGATCTTCAGGTCTAGTTTTACTTTTCTTTCTTTTTAACCAGCACCACGCTGTTGTTATCACAGTAGTTTTTAGTATAATTTCAAGTCAGTAATTGTAATCTCTTCTTCCTTGCCTTTGTTGCCCAGAATTGTTTTTGCTAGTCTATATTCCAAATGAATTGCATGAATGGTTTCTCTAGTTCTGTGAGGTATACTAATAGACAATGAGTAGAAAAGCTCATTTTGTTCTTTAGAGCCCAAGGTAAGTTAACTAACAGTGATGGAGCTTGTCTCCAGAGCTGAATGACAAGCACTAGGTTAGAGTATGGCCAGAAGACTAGGTTCAGATGAGGAATTCCCAAGATTTCTCTGACATCCAACTATTTGATCTCCCCTATCATTTGTTTCCATATGTTCCTATGTTCTGTACTTGGACCAGTCTACTTACCAGAAAGCAAGCTAAAAGACAGGATCTTATTCTCTCATTGCCAATTGAAAGTCCAAGCCACTGCTAACTTTTGTGGATTCATATATTCCTCTATGGATGGAAAAGTGGAGTCTGGTCTTCTCACCTGCTTGCCATTAAAGTTCTGAGTACCAAGGGGCAAAGAAAAGAGGCCCCAGAGAAATATGTCAATGTAAGTAAGTTTCCGTTCATAGAAATCAGGCCTGGATTCCTCAGGGTTGGACTCAGATACTATTTATGGAGCCTTGACCAACCTGCTCCATAGCCCTGGGTGAAGAATCCCTGTATATGCAAGGATGGAGGCCTGTTGTAGTCCATGATATAAAATCAGAGGGTGAGGTTTCTGCCACTTTTAGTCCTTTGGCCATTGATCCTGAGGGTGAGAATCCTGACGCCACTGTGGGAAGGCAGACAGAAACTGGGCTACCTAGGGACACACAGTGGATACAGAGGGTGCTCTGGTACTGTTTATGTGGTGCTATGCAATCTTCAGCAAGCCACACAATCCCTCTAAGCCTTACTCTCTTCTTCTGGTTGTGCCTATAGCTATTTAACTCATAATGTTGCCTACAGTGCCCATGTGAAATTGTCTCTGAAAAAGCCTCAAATGTGTGTGTGCATCTTCAGTGTCTATGAAAGGGTATGGTCAGGCCCTCTGCTCCTGACCTTTGAGACCTGCAAGAGGTGACTGGCCTTATTGGTCTGGCAGATACCATCTTTCCCCGCCCACAGATGCCTTCTGTTTCACCTCCCTTGGGACAGGGTCACTCCTCTGGAGACTGCCTGGCTCTATCTATGGGCACTCTTGGTGCTCCCTTTTGGGCCATCACTGACCCTCTCATCCCCAATCCTGATTTCCCTCTAGTGGTTGTATGAGTCAGCATCAGAACCCCTGCTGCTGTGGAAGTAGGGACCCCACCCCACCCCACAGGAACAGAGACACCTTCCTCCACAGGGTGCCTTTTCCTTTCTCCTGGGCAGGGTTCAAAGGCGAGAAGGACCACTGGCGAAGCCGGCGCACTATTTGTGTGAAGACCCATGAGAGTGGCAAGAGGGAGATTGAGATGTTTGACTCAGCCATTCTGCTGATCCGGAACCCCTACAGGTCCCTGGTGGCTGAATTCAACAGAAAATGTGCTGGGCACCTGGGCTATGCTCCAGACCGCAATTGGAAGAGCAAAGGTAAGCAGAGGACCAGCAAGGCAGTGGCAAAGGACCCTGGCAGTATGCCCTCTGGCATACAGGACCAGCACAGTTTTCCTGGGGACTTGTGCTACTGTGCCTGCTTTGAATTCATCTCTTACCCATCCCTTGGAAGCCAGCTCAGTCCATGCACTGTAGTACTTTATGTGCCAACTGGATGGCCAAGAATGTCCTCTGCCCATCCCCAACTGGGTAGTGGGATGATCCATGCCCCTTTACTTCCCCTGCTCATACCCAGAGTTTACATAGAGCTAAAAGAAGAGCACAGGCTTTGCACAGAGGTGGTCCTGGTCACACCCTCACCCACCCACTGGACCAGCTTCCTCCTTGCCTCATAAGATATGGCCACAGATAACTCATGGGGAAAGACAATATGGGTCCCCAATCTGTGGTTAGTGCTCAGCATGCTCACCCCCTCCTATGCTCCTATGGAGCCCCTCAGTCTGGTTTGCAGGCAGCCACCCTGTCACTATGTCCTCACGTGAAAGAAATTGAAAACTCTGATGTCTCTTATCAGAACATCAAGTCAGGTCACAAGGGCTCTACCCTCATGACCTCATCTAAACCCAGTGACCTCCTGAAGACCTCATGTTCATCCCATTGGAGACTAGGGTTTCAAAATATAAATTCAAGGGCTGGCCAGATAGCTCAGCAGACTAAAGTGCCTGCTTAGACAGGCACAGGGACTGGGGTTCAAACCCCTGTTTGCTATGCCTACCCCACCCCTGGGGCATGCTGAGAGGGTGATTAAGACTGGGCGTGGTGTCGTGCACCTGTAATCCCAGCACTTGAGAGGCTGAAAACAGGAGGATCACTATGAGTCCAATCTGTGTAGTGAGACCCTGTAGACCCTGTAATATATATATATATATTCCCCCAAGGGGCTATATACAGACCATAACACCCAGATTTTCTGATTCTTAGTCAGATTAGCTTATTCTCTCCAGAAGCTTTATTCAGAGAGTCTCTCTATGATCCTGTAGTTACTGAAGTCCCACATATACTAAGACCCCTCCAGGGCATAGGGGCCCAGACTACAGGGTTCAAGGCCCTATACTCAAGGCATATAACTGTCTAGCCCCTGGAAGTAAAAAGTAAAGATACAGGTCTAATGGTAAGTGATGTAGATTGAGCCAGGCATCAAGCTGTGTCAAGGCAGGGTGATGGTGAGATGAGATCTGTGAAGCATCATGACCAGGCAAGCTGCCTGTCCATCCCCACTTCACTGTGCAACAGTGAGGCCTGATTAGTGTCCCAGACTGGAATCCAGTTCTTTCCCAATTGTCCTCCACCTAGACCAGCCCCCCCCCCACCATCCTGGTCCTCCTTGCCACCTCGCCTTTGAAATGCAGGACCATAGTAAGAGCTTAGCCCTCTTAGTTGGGCAGGCTGAGCTCAGATTCTCCCTCTACCTCTTGGAAGCCATATGACCCTTATTAAGCTGTGTTCCTCATCTGGGTTCAGTTTTCTTGTTTTGGAATCCTAGGGTGATTTGAAAGTGAAAGAATGTAAACCCTAATATTTCAGGTATATTAACAGCCTGATTATGGAGACACTTTGTGCTGGGATGGCTCTTGACAAAGTATACCCTACTCCCTTGCAAAAATTAACATCTTAATTTTCTAGCTCATGGAGATCATTTGCTAAAGTTTGAGGCTACATTTGTCTGTGGTATCACTGTGTGTCTAACTTCCAGCAGAATCATGGGTCCAAGCTGACAATGAAACACTCAGGACACTACATAGCTGTCAAACACCAGGTTCACCTAGCCCAGTCTGACATAAGAGGATCAAGAACAGGAAACCAAGCACAGCCTCTTCACTCACCAGGAAGCCCAGAAGCTTCCTTATCCCAGGCACATACTACTCAGTCACCAAAAGCATCTTTCTCCTTGGGGCACCCAAGCAGATCTAGATCTAGAAAGGGAGCAGTAGAAAACCCTGGCTGTCCCCCATGCTTAGAGTCCAAGGACATGGTCAAGGTACTTGTGGTTTGTCTGTATAGAGATGCCCTGACTGGCCTTGCCACTCATCCAAGAACCTGTTCTGCCACAATGGCCTGGACTACAGATCCCTTCCCAGGTCTCCTTGTCCAAGTACACTCTAAAGGTTAAGAAAATCATAGTCCACACAGAGATAACTAGTTCGTGGTGCATAGCAGAACATGTTTTTCTTATATTTCCAAGGAAACACTGCTGAGGAAAGGCAGACTCAAGATGATCATACCCCAGACATCCCTAGGACATATCCAAGCCCAATCTGATATTAATCAATTATGTACATTAGGTCACCAAAGGGTCTTGCTCCAACGAGATGCAGGCAGCTTGGCCCCGGGCAGTAGGCCATGGAAACTGTGGCTTCCTCTTTCTCCTGAGCAGGCCCTATGGGGCTAGCAGTCTTGTGAGGCAGCCTTTGACCATGTCCTTTCTCTGTCTACTCCAGAGTGGCCAGACTTCGTGAACAGTTACGCGTCATGGTGGTCCTCACACGTGCTGGACTGGCTGAAGTACGGGAAGCGGCTGCTGGTGGTACATTACGAAGAGCTGCGCCGCAGCCTGGTACCCACTCTGCGGGAGATGGTGGCCTTCCTCAATGTGTCTGTGAGCGAGGACCGGCTGCTCTGCGTGGAGAACAACAAGGAAGGCAGCTTCCGGCGGCATGGCCAGCGCCCCCATGACCCAGAGCCCTTCACCCCTGAGATGAAAGACTTGATCAATGGCTACATCCGGACAGTGGACCAGGCCTTGCGTGATCACAACTGGGCTGGACTGCCCAGGGAGTACGTGCCCAGATGATAGGCCCCTGCCCAAGTGTTCCCCTCTGCTGCAAGATGCAGTCATGCCATGGAACTATACCCCTGCTCTGCTGCTGGGACATGGACCTCTGGGATGAGGGACATGTGGCTGCTTGCACACAGTCAGCAGGGAAGCCCTCGGGTGCTGCTTCACATGCAGGGAGACCTGATCTAGATGCCAAACCCAGACAGACACATCGCAGGACAGATACAAATGGACACACACTCCTGACAGACACTCACACATCACAGACACTTACTTACACATGATTCCACACTCGCAGTGCTCATTTTGATGTGCCTAAGCCACCTACGCAGGGTAAGCCAGATGTGCCCAGCCTTGCAAATGCAGCCACACAGGGACACGAACACATAGGGGCCAGGGCGTGTGTCCAGAGGCTGGTTGGCTGTCTATCTCTCATACATGCACGTGCACATACATGCACCCTGGGCTCTGAGAGGCCCTGGGCTCCCTGTGTCCAGAGCCAGCACAGACCTGCTTGCCAGAGCCCTCAGCTCTAGAATGCCAGAGTACAAAGGCATTCATTCTCCAAGCATAAAGGGATGGAAGTGGGTGTACAGACTGTTGATGTTGGGCTATTCAGCCTTGACCTTCTCTGACATCGCATAAAGGTATGTGCCGTTAACTATCAGGCACTGTAAACTCTGCAGCCCAGCCTCTCTCTTCTCTCTGGACAGGGTAGTGAGGTACTGTGGGCAGAGTGAAGCTCACACCTCTGCCCTGCCCTGCCAATGCACATACTTACCAACCTGCTCAGCCCTGCCATGCCCTTTGACTCACATCAAGTCAGTGATCCTCAGAATGGGACTACCTCCTGCCTTCTTCCACTTTCTAAGAAATCTGGCAATTCACACTCTGCCTCTGAAGCAGGGTGTGAGGGTTGGGGTAGGACAGAGGCTAAGCCTCTAGGGGAGTCCAAGACCCAAGAGGTCCATATGACAACAGGAGGGGAAAGAGGAGGACATGGGAGACCCTTGAGGGTGCACTTGGGGCCACTGGGACTGTTGTCCAGACATATCAACAAGAGCTATTCTCTGTAGATCTCACAATGGGGTCATAGAAATGTTCTATGTGACCTTTGTGGCACAGCTTCTGCCTGACCTCTGGTGGCAGAGCCCTCTGTGTCACTCTGTGTTCATCCTGACACATCCTATCACTATTGTATTGTCACACAGCCTTTTTGCCACACCCTGTCTCTTTCTGTGTAGTGACATTGTTCCCATTTGTTTGTTCTGCTCCCGGTGGCCTCTGTGTCCTTCCTGACGTGAAGCTATCCTAGAACTTATTTTTGCATCTTAAAGCTGAGAATACCAGTCTTTGTAAGTGTCTTGAAAGCCCCTGACAAAGCCATTTCCCTTGGGCATGGAAGCAGTTGAGAATTACAGTTTCCAGGCTGCCTTGGAAAGAAGCCAGACATGTCTACATCCCAGAGCAAACCTATGTTCTCTAAGAGGCAGTAGATCTGGCATCAGATTGCAGGACAGCAAAGAAGCTGACCTCCTCCTGAGATAGATTTGAGGTTTGAGCTCACTCTTCAGGGCCATCCAGGGGCAAAGTCTGAAACCATAGAGGCTATGTATAGCAAAAATGTCGAGAGAATTGACCAGGCCTGCAGCCAGGGCATGATCTCTTATACTTCACCCACTACCCCAGAAGTTGGGGAGTGCAGCAAGCCCCAGAGTTGCTCCTGGGAGCTTGTTGGTACATTCTCTGCTGCCAGATGTCTCAAGGCTTCATCCCCTTTCAGGAGGGTGCCACCAGTTCATGTGGCATGGAGCTCACAGCCACCGCTGGCTCTTAGCAGTGGGTGAGGCATCTGTGCTTCTGAGAAAAATCGATTTGGCTCTCTCCAAGTTAGATGGCATCTCCAGCTCTCACCTCAGAACGGAGGCTACTGTCCTGACCAGCCACACAGTACAAGCTGATCTGTCTGTAGAGCAGAGTGTAACAAATACAGTGAGAGTCAGAACAGAATAGCAAGACTATCTACAGATTCCAACTTTAATAGCAAGGATATGGGGTTACACAAAACTGTGTTAAAACATGTCCCTTTCATGGATTTTATCTCTTGTTGTGGATCAATTTGAAAAAACCAAAATATATAATTTTAAGAAACTAAAACACATTCTGATAATCCTAGTGATGTGTAAATGAGAGAAAAGAATAGACAGGCCCCAAAACCCTGGGAAGAAAGCTGCTTAATTATGTGAGCATCTTATAATGAAGCCTCTTGCAGCTAAAATTAGATTTTGAGTGCATGAATATGCGATCATGTTTGCACATCAGAATGCAGGGGTTTTTTTTCTCTTAAAAGTACCAAGAGCTATTTGGTTCTTAGGAAGCCCCAAGAAGGGAGGAGGAAGAGAGGAGGTTGATTCCTGCAGCTGCAAGAATCCTTAAGGCCCAAGGTTGTTTTTGTTTGACCTCAAAACTTGATGAAGGTGTTTGAAATTCAGTGACTACAAAGCAGTCTATGAGAGTTACAGAGAAATTGATTGTTCCAACATGATCGTCATGGGTGTTGGGTGTATCAGCCTGAACCAGGTAGGAATCAAGTACCGTGGGAGCACTGGAGGGTTTCTATATGGTTGGGCTGGGTTGTGGCCCCCGCTCTGCTCTCATCTTGGACAGTCCTTTCCCTTGCCTGGTCTCAGTCTTTTCATCCATAAAACAAGGGATGTGATGGATGTTGGTTGCATCTCCAGCATGCATTCCTCTATTTCCTTTCCCAGCAGTCTCTCATTTCTGCTAAGGTTTCAGTGACGTGGCAGAACCAGCTGTCACCACTCCCAGGAGTAAACATTCAATGTAGACTAAACCAATAACATAGTCCGCCTCTCTGACCAAAGTGATTGATCCAGATATGACTGCATGAGGTAGATATATTCAGAAAGAGGGACTTTGAAGATTTCTGGGGGTGACCAGGTGTGACGGCATGTGCCTGAAATCCCAGCTCTCTGGTAGGCTGAGGCAGGAAAATCACAAGTTTGAGCCCAGTCTTGGCAACTTAAAGAGACATTATCTCAAAAAAAAAAAATGTTTTTAAAGGACTAAAGATGTAGCTCAGTGGAAATGCCCTGGTTTCAATACCCGGTACAATAAAATAGAAGGAGGAAGGAAGAGAAGGGGTGGATAGGGGAATAAAGAAGAGAAAGGAAAGAGAAAAAAAAAAAAAAGAGGAAAGGACATTCTGGGACTTTTGAGTAGCAACTCTGAGTGCCTTTGTTGGATGTGAAAGAGAAAGCAGGTAATCCTGAATCTTGATAGGGGCCATCCTGGGACCATGGCAAAATTACTCTCAGCATGAAAGCTGAAGGGAGAGGAGAAGCAACAAGCACCAGGTCCTTGGTAACATCAAGTGCAGCATAAGCTTTGAGAGTGGCCCCACCTCCGGACCTTTTTCATTCATGAACCAATAAAGTCTTTCTATTTGTTACTTAAATTGAGTTGAGCTGGACTTCTGTTACCTACAACCCAGAGCATGGTTTAAAGGATTGAAAGGTTCTGGAGCACTGACACTCTGTTTCCACAGCTCCTGTAGGTAAAGCAGGAAACCCTACCACCATGAGGCTATAGGACTGGCTCGTCACTTTCAAAGGGAAAGGCTGAGTGAAGAGTGCTCAGTAGGAAGTCATCAACCAAGACAGGTGACATGGCTAAGTTCTGACACAGAGGTCACCCAGATACCCTTGGAAAACAGCACTTAGATGCTTAACCAATGTCCTATATAGTCCCTATGAACTCCTTGGTGTGGTTACTATTTATTTTCTCTGCTTAATGGATGTGAGGAGTAGAATGCCATCTGAGGTTGTGAAAGTGTGGTTCCATTTGCCAAAGTTTCTTTCATAGAGAAGACCATGTGCTGTAGGAAGGAATTCTTTGATAAGCTACTTGTTCAGGGAGTGAAATGTCCTTCAATGGGTAGGAGATACCAGTGATATCAGAGGGCAGTTTAGGTGCTACCTAAGGAGAGTAGGCATGGTAAACCATACAGCTTTGGTTTTCCTGAATGGGACATGCAGACTCACAGTGGAGCAGAGTAGGTTCCATTGGAGAAGCAGGGCAATGCTACTTCAGGGTTTTCTTCCTCTGGCCTCTTTAACCTCACTGTGTGCAACCAACCTCACTATGTGAAGATGAGGACTTCTATGTGATCCCTCTTTTCTTTAAGTTCCCCTTGGAACATCTTTCATGCCATGTGGCAGGGCAAAGTTGTGTAGAGAAAAACAAAGATTCCAGGAGATCAATATGAGTATACTCACACAGCTACCTCTTTTACAGCTGAGGTAGACTTGTCAGGCCTTTCCTGGGTAGAAACATCACAGGTACCTGCCATGGGAAATATGAGCAGACCCGCCCTAAATTGCAAACATGATTGCTTCAATAAAATGAAGAATCTCGATGTCAAACAAAAATGAAAAGACCAGCTGATGCTGTAAGCATACATATGAACTGAATAATGAACCATTCAAGATGTGTCTTCAGTGCTTCAGACATTTTTTCAGATTTTAACATCGGTGGTGACAAATCTGTGTCCTGAAAGTCTGGTGACTGACAATACAGTAAACAGTATTCCTATGGGTCACAAAGTTCCACAGACATTGGTCATCACACAGGTGTCTCAGTGAGGTGAACATTATGTCACGCTGGGGGAAGAGAAAATAAAGTTTCTGAGGCTAAATTGGACAAAGTTCAGCCCCTTTATTGTACAGATGAGGAACATGAGACTCAGATTGGGGCAGGGTATCATAGGTGGCCCTGCTATGAGGATGGGTGATGGAGCTAACATCTGAATGTGGGATCTTCCCACGTACCACCTAATTGCCTCCATACTGAACCCCTGCAACTCTCCTAAAACTTGCTGAAAATGAGACAACCACGCATACTCATCTCATCTGGAAATGACTCCATTAATTTCACTGCTAATTCTTGGCCAAAGCACAGGCTGATAGGCCCCTTAATTCAGTGTTAGAGGCTACTTAGTAAGCAATCTCAATCCTTTGAAACAATGCAAGGAAGCATTTGTCTCTAAAGAAGTGAGGTAGGAATGGACCATAATTTGCTGTATTAGTCAATTTTCTGTTACTGAACAAAGCTGAGATAATCAACTTGCAAAGAAGAAAGGTTTGTTTTGGCTTGGTTTTAAAGGTTTGGACTATGATTCATTGCTTTAGGGCTATGGCAAGGCAGTGCATAATGGAAGAAACTGGAAAGAAACAGAAAGGCTGAGGTCCCAATATCCTCCTTCAAGGGCATTCCACAATGACCAGAAGACCTCCCATCAGGCCCCCCTCTTAAGATTTTCACCACCTCCCACTCATGCTACAAGTGACACTCATCCAAACCATGGCACTTGCCATGAGAAAAGAGTCCAAGGTTCTCATCCTCAGCCACAGATATCCCAGGCAGCAAGAAGACTTTGTTATTCCAGGATATTAGGAGGTAAACATATGGAGTGAGTTTACCCAGCTGTGTTTGTGTATTTCCAAGAACATAGGCATGCAGGTGTGAGCTCCAGCTGCTGACAGGCAGCGGCCCCTTTGAATCACCTGTCAGCCATCCTGAGCATTACCAGTGACAAGAGCCCAGTCACCCAGGTGGCAGAATCAATTTGAAAAACTCTTCCTCCCAACCGTCAGAGCAACCATGTCAAGGTGACGAGAATCCATTCTCACCTTGAAAGGCAGAGCACAGGTTTAGTACATGTTTGGAGGAATATCAGGAATGCAGAGTAGCAGTACTGAGCACAGATACTTCCCCGGGTTTCCACCATCCAACTACACCACAGGCATCACCAAAGGTTGAAATTGATGTCCCAGAATCACCTGTGTTCGCTTTACATTGCTATATAACAAGTGACCACAAGATGAATAATGGAAAAAGACACCCATTGGTCGCTCCACACTCTATGTGCAGTCAGCAAGTGGGGCACAGCCAGCCTGAATTCTTTGCCTTGAGATTTTACCACACTGCAGTTAAGGTGTCAAAAGATTTGGTTTTCATCTGAAGATGTGACCAAGAAAAGGCCCACTTCCAAGATTACTGAAATTGTTAGCAAAATCAAATCATGTGATTTAGGACAGAGGGCTTCCTACAGGCCCACCATTCCTTGACAAGTGGGCCTCTCCGTATGCTGGTCACCACACAGCAGTTTGTTTCCTAAGGACCAACCAGAAAGTGAGATCACCTTGAATATAGAACAGAGACATAGGAAAGATTCTCTTCTCCTTTGCTACACCTACTCATTAAAAGCAAGGTCCTACCCACACTCAAGGGGAGGGGATGAGACAAAGGTATGAATGCAAGGTACTGAGAATCACTGGATATCACCTTTCAGTCTGTCTATCACAACCCCAGTAATGAAAACTTCCAGTAGTCAGGATAGGCTTTCTGTCTATAGCACACCATGGATTGAATTGTGCTGAATGGAGCAGGTGTTTCAAAACATCATCCCAGAAGATCAGGCTACAGACAAATCACAACAGTGAATTCAGATCCAACCTTTCCAATTGTACTGGTTGACACATTATATTAACTTGAGACATTTAGAAGTTTAATTAAGTGACTCAGCAGGGAGCCGGGGTTTTTATTTTGTAAACATCCTCGTCCTGTGCAAGAGGAAGATATGGACCCTGTGTGAGTTCTACAGGGGAGAGAGGCTTCCTAGAAGTCACAACTACTTCCCCTTCCTTTGCTCTTCAATGTTTTCCTCATTCAGGAATGGCTGCCTTCTGCCATGTGCTATTCTGCCTTGGAGCCAGCCAAGTATGGACTGCAACCTCCACAAAATGTGAGCTAAATAAACCTTTCCTTCCCTAATATTGGGTCTAAGGTATTTTGTCCCAGTAATGAGTGTAAAGTAACTGAGACAGAATTTGGTACCAGAGAGGTGGGGTCATTGCTGTGATTATAGATCTGATCATGTTGTTCAAGAGCTTTGGGGAATGGCTTATGGGAAGAGATAGGAAAGGCTCGGAGATGTTGCCAATGTGTGTTATGGCTTGGTAGAAAGGTTGTCTGAATTTTCCTCATGTCTGGAGACTTTGCCTGAGACTGAGATTAAGCACCGAAGACTGGTAAATCTGGCAAAAGAAATTTCAAGGCAGTTGAATGTTGAGGCAGTGGCATGGCTATTGTTGGGGACTTTTATTTAGATTTATGTTGAAAATCAAGGGACTGGGGTTGTGGCTCAGCAGCATAAGTACCTGCCTGGCAAGCACAGGGTCCTGAGTTCAATACCCACTACCAGCCCCCCTAAAAAAGAAAAAAGAAAATCAAGAGCAAAAAGCCCAGAAGGATGATTTAAAATGTTGTGAGATAGGCCAGAAAGAAAGTACCATGAAGGCTGTGAACTTCAAAGATAGAACTGAAATCTTCGTTGCTTGGGAGAAACAGAATGGAAAAGATATCCTGAGGATATTACTGGAGGCAGCACATCTTTGCCCTTTGAAGCCCTAGAGATGCAAGGGTAAGGGACTTTTCTTTGAGGAAAAAGCCTCAGTGAATCATGTTCCAGAATGGAGGCAGCAACCACACCAAGATCCAGAATGGCAGTGGTATAGAGAATTTCTTCCTCTGAATCAGGGTCAGAGTGCTCAGCGATCTGGTCACTCAACCTTTACAGCCAAGAGAGGAGAAAATATGGCTACTGCTCCAGCTGGCAGTAATGGCATCATCCACTGGCATTAGTATTAGGTGCATGCAAAATGTAGAGGTACTGGGGTTAAGAAGGCTTCCACCTATATTTCATAAGGCCTAGAAGGCCGGGCATTGTGACCCTCGGAGGGTTGTGTGTAAAGCTGTGGGTGAGAAGCCAATTCAGTGGAAACCCCAGAAGTTTGTAAAATCCGGGAGCATGGACTCTCTGAGGAAAGCTGCAAGAAGGGAACAAAGCCAGCCTCAGAGAAATAGGAGCTACCACCAGCATAAGTGCCATAGTAGGTAGAGCTCTTTGCCACAGATTGCTTTAGATGTTCC